GGCTAGGTGCATACTTTTTTGTTTAAAATCTTTTTTTCTTGCCCTGGCTGGTTTGGCTCAGCGGTTGGAGTGTTGGCCTGCGGTCCAGAGAGACCTGGGTTCAGTTCTTGCTAAGGGCGCATACCTCGGTTGCAGTTTGTCCCCAGCCCTGGTTAGTCGTGCGGGTGGCAGCCACTCCATGTGTCCCTTTCACGTCGATGTTTCTCTCTCTCTCTCTCTTCCTCTCTCCCCCTTCCACTCTGTCTGAACAAAAAAATGGAAAAATGTCCTTGGATGAAGATAAAAAAAATCTTTTTTCTTGCCCTGGCCGGTTTTGCTCAGTGGTTAGAGCATCGGCCTGTAGACTAGAGAATCCCGGGTTTGGTTCCCACTAAGGGCACATACCTTGGTTGCAGTTTGTCCCTGGCCCTGGTTGGGCTTGTGTGGGTGGCAACTACTCGATGTGTCTCTCTCTCATCGATATTTCTCTCTCTCTCTCTCTCTCTTCTTCATTTTCTCCCTCCCACTTTATCTGAAGATAAATGGAAAAATGTCCTCGGGTGAAGATAAAAAAAAAATCTAAAATCTTTTTTCTTTATTGATTTGAGAGAGAGAGGAAGGGAGGGGGGAGAGAGTTAGAAACATCGATGAGAGAGAACATCGATTGGCTGCCTCCTGCATGCCCCACACTGGGGATCAGGCCCACAACCTGGGCATGTGCCCTGACCAAGAATTGAACCAGCAACCTCTTGGTGCATTGGTTGACACTCAACCAGTGAGCCACACCGGCTGGGTGCTAGGTGTATAATTAATCAGCATTTTAATTTAATCCTTGTAGTTACTCTAAGATATTATTATCCTTGTTTAAAAAAATTTTTTTTTCCATTATTGATTTTAGAGAGAGTTGAAGGGAGAGGGAGAGAGAGATAGAAACATCGATGAGATTTTGGTGCATGGGTCGACACTCAACCACTGAGGCTCACTGGCCAGACTTATTTATCCTTGTTTTATTGGTGAGGACACTTTTAAGGTCAGAGGGTTAAAAACTTTTTTGAAGGTCTCCCTGGCAGGTGTGGCTCAGTTGGTGAGTGTTGTCCTGGGCACTGAAGGCTTTGATCCCCAGTTGGGGCATGTACGAGAGGCAACTGGACTGATGTTTCTGTCTCATATTGATGTTTCTCTCTCTTTCGTTCTCTCTGTCCCTTCTTCTCTCTCTAGAATCAATGAAAAACGTATCCTCGGGTGAGGATGAAAAAAAATACATTTGCTGAAGGTCAATAGTAGTTATCTATTTATATATACTTTGCCTTGATATAAATAGTTTTAAGGTAGACATAGCTAATAGTTATTATGTGCTGGAGGCCAGGTATTCAGAAGGAAGAAATTGGTAGGTATAGGGAGTAGAACCTTATCCATTTGTTTATTTCAATCCTACTCCTATCTTAGGGCTTTCAGATATACTTTCCCGAGCTGTTCATGTTCCTCCAACTGAGAATTAATTAAACTTTTCCGTACTACCATAGCAAAATGCTTTTTATCACTGACATTTACTTCACTCTGGATGTAAATGATGTAAATGCATATGCTTTTTCTCTGGGTAAGTTGAAAGCCAGGCTGTGCTCCTTGTAAGCCACAACCCTCCTCTCCTTCAAATACCTAATAGATGGTAGCTGCTTAACAGTGTAGTTGAGGTGAATTTGTGACATTATAAAGTAAGGGTTTTGAGGCAAGATTGTCTGATTATTTTTGTTAGGAATCCTGCAAGATGGCGAACTTAAGAGAATATTATGAGAGGGCTTTGAGAGAGTTTGGATCTGGAGATTCTGGTAAGTAAACTTTAGTTACAGATACACAGGTCTGTTTGCATGTGTAGTCTGTATCCTGTTGGTATGGTTAGAACAGTTTTTCTTAGCTTTTTTGGGTCATGGCCCTCTTTGAGAACAAAACTTGCATTCTTCCCCTGCCTATTCCCTCACTTTGTGCATAAATACTTGCAGATATAATTTCACTTATAACTTCAAGTTCACAAGCTTAAGAGTCTATGGGTCTTCTGTTAACTCTGGATTAGAGAAAGATTTACTTGGTTTGGTTCTCTTTTTAAAAATGTGGTATTTGTAAGGGAAAGGTTAATAATGTAGGTCAGAGCAAAAAGGAGAGGGAGGGATGAAGGGGTATTGACATTAGTTGTCACTGGCTGTTGCCACATTGTCCTCATTTATAGGCCTTGCAAAACATAATCCTGGGTGTTGGTATGTCATGTAAAATTTGTTTACTTAGCACTCAAAAACTGACCTGTAGAGTTGTTAAACTCATTTTGAAAAATACATTAGTTCTTAAGAGATTTCAACAGACCTTCTGATGGAATGCCTGAAAACAGTGTCTTTACTAACCCGAATAAGTTTTGTTAAGCATGGTAATGAGGTTATAGTGACCTCATCGAGGAAAATTTCACCTTGAAAGAGACTCAACAAAATGCTGCCTTTAAAATATTTAGTATATTTGAATTTGTAAAATACATAGACTATCATGATTAAAGTGAAGTATTCTACTTTAAAAACATAGTTTTGATATACCTTAGTGTAAAGATGATGAGAAGAGGCATGGTTTAACATACAGTTCTATGGAAATAACAAGTTAAATTTCTCAGAAATCTTGCATTGAATTGATATTAAATATTTAAGTTTACCTAATAAAGCCTCATCAATTATCTAATTGTATGTTTATAATAATTTTTTTATTTCCTTTAAAGATCTTTGGATGGATTACATCAAAGAAGAATTGAACCACCCCCTTGGTAGACCTGAGAACTGTGGACAGATATATTGGCGAGCCATGAAAATGTTGCAGGGAGAGTCAGCAGAGGAGTTTGTAACTAAACATGCTATGCATCAAGCTGGCCATTTGTGAAAAGAGGAAGATTATAGTCGACCTTGTGAAGTAGTATTGTAAGCCCTCTGGGCAGGTTTGTGTTACAAATTCACCTGCAATTTGCAGACAAGATTTTGTGACATGTTTTAATGTTGCTCCTGTGTTAATCAAAAATCTAGAAAAGAGAACTGCTGTTTAGTGGCCAGAGAACACCTGTTGAGGCTGGATCTACTATAGATCCATAATGTTTTCCAAAATATTTAGAAGTCATAAACAGTTTCTTTCATTACACTGGTCAGGGATGAATGTCTCTAATCTAGACGCAGGGGCTAGTTGAAATAGAGGGGAAAGTATAGTTCTGTTTATTTACTCATTATTATAAAAGTATAAATGGTATGCAGCTGTTATAGAAAATATGGTGAGAATAGAATAATGAAAATAAAATAAAAGCATCCTGTCATATCTTTTGGAGTTAAACGCAGTAATTTGATTTCCTTGATTAGAATTGGATTTATTCTCTTAGACCACTTATTCATTCATTTATTGAGTACCCATCATGAGCAGGAAAGAAAGGAAGCTCTTTGGGATGAAGATAGCAGTTGGAGGAACGGGGCTGGATGTCCTACGAGCTGGCTGAAGCAGCAGAGAAGGATGCTGGGTATAGAGGGAAAGTCCTTTAAGAAGATTAAGACAGTATAAAAGTGTCTTCTGTCTCTGGGGCTGATCTGCAGAGAAATGTTTCCATTGGAAAAGCCTGGCAACCAAAGAAGGGCAAGGATAGGGAGTAAATTAGAGCTGCAGAGAAGGGCTTCAGAAGTGATGATAGAGGATGGCTTGGAGCAGAAAAGGGCATTCTGGGAGCAGGGGAGGCAGTTATTTGATTTTATATATATATATTTTTATCCTCACCCAAGGACATTTTTCCATTTTTTATTCAGACAGAGTGGGAGGGAGAGAAAGGAAGAGAGAGAGAGAAACATTGATGTGAAAGGGACACATCAAATGGCTGCCACCCACATGACCCAACCAGGGCTGGGGGCCGAAGTACCTGTCCTTAGTGGGAACCGAACCCGGGTCTCTCTGGATCACAGGCCAACACTCTAACCGCTGAGCTAAACCAGCCAGGGCTGATTTTATATTCTTTAACTTAACATTATGATATAACTGGGGAGAGCATTTAGTATAGTTTACTTATGTGTCACTAATGTCATTTAAAATAGCCTTAAAAACATTTAATTTATACATTGCATTGAATACATGAGCCATGACTTATTTTACTAATTCTCTATGGTTGGACCTTGTCATTTGTAATTTTTTTTCTTATTATAAATGCTATTGATGAAAATTTTTGTAAATCTTTGTTAATATCCCCGGTTATTTCTTTAGAGATTGATATTTGACAGAATTATTGGATTAAAGGATATAACTTTTTAAAAGAATATTGATATATATTGCCAATTTACAATATATGAAAATACTTTCAAGCAGTGTCTGAATACCAGCACCTTTAGCTGCAGTGGATGTTATATTTTTTATTTTTATCATTTTAATAGGTGAAAAATTACATACTGTTTTAATGTGCATTTCTGTGATATTAACGAAGTTAATGTGTTTTTCCTGTTCTCTTTTCATGTTCTTTGACAATTTTTTGAACTTAAGAAAAAACCTAATTTATGAGTTTTTTATATATTAATAATATTAACCTTTACTTTACCTCTACTTTATTGCACCTAATTTGTCACAGATGCTGTGTGTGTGTTTGGTTTTTTGATATCCAGAGGTTTTTGGGGTTTTGTCTACATGATTTCTATTGCTGATAATTTTTTTTTTTTTTTTTTTTGCTAAGGACAGTTCAAATTTTTTTTCTCCAAGCAATTAATTTTCCACAACACCATTTGTGGCCATTTTTCTCTCTGCTGATGTGTGATAACCCCTTTATTTTATTTAATTAAATTCCTATGAATATTAGCATCTGTTTTAGGGCATTTTTATTGTGAGCTTTTGTACTCTAAATGTTTGCTTGTTGTTTTGTTTTCAAACAAGAAAAATTTTCTTTTTCCCTCTCATTAAGTTCGGGGATGTTTATCATTCTAAATCCTTACGTGGCATTTTTATTTTAGGAAAGATATATGTTACATGTAAGAGATGAGAGCAAAGAGGATGACAGTTGGCTTCTTACAATAAAGCTATGAAGGTGGGTCCCTGGGGGTTATCACAACACTGTATGGTTCTCACTATTGCAGGTTATGAAAATGCATCTAGCCAGTTCACCTGGAGCTGCACTGTTGGATATGGTAGTTACTAGTTACATGGCAATTTAAATTTATGAGAATGAATTCAATTTCTCATTTACACTGGCAATATTTCAAGAGCGTAATAGCCTATTGTCTACCACATTGGATAGCACAGATGATAGAACTTTTTACTCTCACCATTGCAGAAGGTTCTGTTGGACAGAGTTGAGCTAGATAAATCCAATTAGATTTGGGGAAAGGGACTCATGGGTCAGAACAGAGCACGTTAATCTGTCGCATCTTCCTTGTAGGAAAGTCTACATAGAGAAAGAGAAAAAAGATTATGCATTAGCTGTTACACTAACTTTTTCAAATGTCTTATATAGTTTATAAACAACACATACTTTGAAGGAGATGAGGGAATAGGCTCTCTAATCTCCCAAGGATTGCATTAAAGTGGCATGGTAAGCAAGGAATTGCAGTTTATAGCTTTTATGCCACTTAAATGTTAACATGTTTATCACACCGTTCAGTTTCCGCTGTGTGGGTGGGGAAAGACAGCCTGAAGGCTGCCCTTGCCTTTCTTAGGTTGTAGAGGGCCAGACCTAATCATTAAAAAATGAGCTTTTCCTAGGTCAGACTAGGGTTAGCATAGAATGTTAGGGTTACTGTGACTCACAACCTGTACGTTGTGTCCAGCACATTGTCAGAGTTTGTTTTTATCATTTGTCCTGGTTTCTAATGGACTAAGTTAAAGAGCTATCTTTAACTCAAAGTGGAGAATCACTGGGCTGCTGAGTTGTCGCATCCAACTGTGCGTGAGTTACAGTCCAATTCCACCCTGAGTTCTAGAGAAATCTCTAAGATCAAAAGTGAAATGTGGTTGGAGCTATAATTGCATTAAAGGTTTTTCTTTTCCTTTTTTTAATCCTCACCTGAAGGATACTTTTTCATTTATCTTCAGATAGAGAAGAAGGGAGAGAGACAGAAAGGGAGAGAGAGAGGGAGAAAAATGGATGTGAAAGACATATCAATAGGTTGCCTCCGGCAGGACCCCAGACAGAACTACGAGCAAGGGAGCTAAATGCCTTAGCATAAAATTGAACTTGTGACTCTGGTGGGAGGGCATACTCTTCCAACTGCTGAGCCAAACCAACCAGGGTGCATTAAAGTTTTCATAGCTGAGCTTTATACATTATCAAATGGACTCGGGTAACAGGAATTCGAGGTTTTGAAGCTGGGTGGGGATGACATTTAGCACTCCAGACTCAGTCATCCAGCCCTGGACCACAGAGTTGAGATTGGTAGGTGGGCTATGCTGTCGGACGCGCCACGCCCCTCCTCCGTCGCCCCGCCCCCGCCTCCCTCGTGATCCCCGAGTCCCGTCCCCCTCTACCGGGAGCACCCTGGCTGATTGGCCCCTGCGCGGCGTATCCTCGGGCTTGCAGCCAGGCGGGCGCGTCACGTGGGAGCAGCGTCCAGGGCGCGGAGCCGCGGGCTGCCGGGCATGGATCCTCAGACCGCCCGGGCCCTAGCTTTGGGGGCAGCGGAGCCGCCGCGAGGCCCGCCGCTGGCGAGCGCGCGGGAGTCGCCCCCCGGCCGGGAGGTGAGCGCTGCGCTGGGGCCGGGCGCGGCCGCCACCTGCGCAGGAGGCGGGAAGTTGCGGGGGCCGTGGAGCCGGGGAAGCGCCTCGGGCCCGCCTCGGGCTGCCCTGCGAACGTTGAGCGCCGTTTGGGTGTGCGCTCGAGCTGGAAACGGCCTGGTGGCCGAGGGGTCGCGGGGAGCAGGGCTGCGGGGCGGGGTACCCTGAATGCGTGGGTGGGCGCGCTGGGCTGGAATGAAGGCTTCGGTCCCCGGGGCGCCCCTGCGTACTTGCTAAATGGGAGGTGATGCTGATGGCCGAGAGCTGGGGGCCATTGCAGAGGGCCTGGACAGGGGCCAGGTGAGGGTGGCGAGGAGAGAGACTTTTCCTGAAGGACCCGAGTCCATTGGTGGGGATGCTCAGCTAACCTGAGCACCAGATGATGTCTCGTGCGCTGTCTCCTTTTTCTAGTCAACGAAATTCAAAGGCCCGGTTTGATGCAGGGTTTCCAGAAACTTGTTTTCATTGGCGCGCCAGACAGCTCCTGGTTTTTCAAAGACCGTGTTACAGTCATAACCTGCCCTTGTTTGCAGTCAGTAATCTCTGCTAGATGGTGAACTCCGTGAGGGTAGAAACCCTCTGTTTACTGCTGTTAACCTGGCGCCTAGCATAGTGCCTGGCACGGTAGACACGTTCATTAATTGGTTGGAGGAATGGCGTGCTTGTTGAAGCATCAAAGATAGTACACAACCAAAATAAGAAAAATGTAGTAATAGACTTATAAAGAAAATTATTTTGGAGTGCAGATGGGACGAGGCTGATTTGGTCAGGGCATATCTGGAAGGGATGTGCACTTCCTCTCTAAGGTGAGAAGGTGATGTGCCTGCAGAGGTGTGGAGATGCGGAAGTGCAGGGCACATGCCTGGGAATGGGGTCTCAGCTGGGATAGAACTATGCTCAACAAGTTGATGGGGCCGAGGGGGAGGTATGGATGCCATGGATAATGTGCTCCCATAGTGGAGTTTTTTGAAGAGAGCAGTGATTAACACTGTAAGACCTGGCAGGATGGATGAGTGGCAGGGCAGCTAAGGAGTTAGGGCATTGGTGGAAGTCAGAGGTCCCTCTAGTTGGCCCACAGTTATGACAGGAGGTGGCATTGATGCTTTAAATCCAGGTAAAACTAGATCATGAGCTACCTGGGGCAGGTGCCAAGTGCAGTGTAGAAGTAGGGGCAAAGAAGGTGGGTTTAGATTGAACAAATGTTACATTCCTGCTTCGGGCTAGGTGTTTTCATGAATGTTAGGTCATCATAAGCCCCCTGCAAGGTCAGGACAATCATCCACAATTTCTAGGGAAGGAAACCCAGGGAGAGTGGTTGAAGTGATGTGTTCAAGGTCACACACTGAATGAATGGCAGAGCTGGGATTGAAATCAGGTCTTCTCATGGAGACTGTGAACATTTCTTGTTCCATTTAGAAAGAGGTCTTAGAGGTGGTAAGACTCAGGAACTTTAGAAAAAAATATTTTTTCTTTATTGATTTTAGAGAGAGGGAGAGAGAGATAGAAACATCAGTGAGAGAGAACATCTATTGGCCGCCTCCTGCATGCCCCCCACTGGGGATTTGGCCCACAACCTGGGCATGTGCCCTGACCTGGAATCGAACCAGCAACCTCTTGGTGTATGGGTTAATGCTCAACCACTGTACCACTCTGACTGGGCCTTTTTTTTAAAATCCTCACCAGAGGAGATATGTTTTTATTGATTTTAGAGAGAGAGGAAAGGGAAGAGTGTGAGAGAGATTGAGAGAGAAATGTCAGTGTGAGAAACATTGGTCAGTTGCCTCCCGTATGTGGTCTGGGGATTGGACCTGCAACCTAGGTATGTGCCCTGACTAAGAATTGAACCCCCAACCTTTTTTTTAATATATATTTTTTTCTTTATTGATTTTAGGGAGAGAGAGAGAAACATCGATGAGTGAGAAGATCAATTGGCCGCCTCCTGCATCTCATGCCCCCCACTGGGGATTTGGCCCACAACTTGGGCACGTGCTCTGACCAGGAATTGAACCAGTGACCTCTTAGTGCATAGGTTGATGCTCTACCACTGAGCCACACCAGCCGGGCAAACCCACAACCTTTTGATGTATGCGAAGACGGTCCAACCAACTGAGCCCTCTGGTCAGGGCAGGACGTCAGGGACTTTGGAGTGGTGACAGCAGAGAGGCATGTGGTTGGCTGCAGGGGGAGAAGATTCCCTTCAGTATTGCAGAAGAACTAAATACTGTGTATCAGTCAGGAGACAGAGAATTTGCTAGAAAGAGTTATTAATTAGATAAGAAGTTAAACTGAAAAGTTAAAAATGAACATGGACGTAGCAACTGCAGGAAACAGCTACCAGCCCCTTGGGCTGAGGGTCTAAAGGGATGAAGTTGGAATGGTTAAAATTACATGTTCAGCCCTGGCTGGTTTGGCTTAGCGGTTAGAGCCTGCAGACCAATGAGTTGTGGGTTCGATTCCAGTCAAGGGCATGTACCTTGGTTGCGGTTTGTCCCTGGCTCTGGTCGGGTCGTGCGGGAGGCAACCAGTCGATGTGGCTCTAGCATATCGATGTTTCTCTTTGTCCCTCCCTCCCTCCCTCCCTCCCACTCTATCTGATAATAAGTAGAAAAATAGCCTCAGGTGAGGAATTAAAAAAAAAAAAATATATATATATATATATTTTATATTTCTATACACACACACACACACACGTTCAGGGAAAGGCTTTGCAGAGCTGAAATTCCAGCTTCAGAGGAGGGGTTGCTGCACCCCTTAGTGCTGGGGTCTTTGAGCTTGGAGAAGCTGTCTTGAGGGCCTGGGAGTCAGACCTCAGAAGATAGGGCTGGGTGATGACACTGGCTTTGCAAGTGTTGGCAAACTGTAAGCTGGGTTCAGCGGCTGAAGATGCTCCTGCTGTCCAGTCTGAAGTGTCGCTGGGGTGATGCCTCCGGGAATAGGAAGGAGCAAAGCCCTTCTCCCTCCATCCTTGCCGAGTCTAATAGGGCAGAGCAGAAGTGTGGGTTGCAGAGTCTCAGCCCCCTAAACAAAGGGAAGTATGAATGGGTGGGTTTGCACTGAGAGACAAGAGCTTACTAACCACTGGAGAATACGCCAGATGTCAAAGTCCTGGGTAATTGTTTCTTCTTTCAGCAGGCTGGCTTTGACCCAGATGACCATTCTGGTCAGGAGAGAGAGACTGAGAAGGCCACGGATCGACTAGGCAAGTAGATGGCAGAGATGGGGGTGAATGTTCGGAGAGCCTGAGGGAATGACAAGAGGGACAGTCCCTTTGTTTTGTTTGCCTTCTCTTCCTAGCAGGTCCTCCTCTTAGCTGCCAAGTTGCCTGTTCTGCCTAGTGTTTCAGTAGTGCCCTTGTTTGGAAGTCGCACTGGAGGTTCCTTAAGGGAAGTCCTGAATTTGTGTCCAAACCCATCTCTTGTACTGAGAGAGACAGCTTAGGAAAGCAGGCAGAATATGGGCTCTGGAGCTAGGCAAAATGGTTTCCACTTACAGCCCCGAGTCAGCCCTGGCATCAGAGTTCTGTGGCCTTAGATACGTCACTTATCATTTCTTTATCTTTAAAATGGGGATAATAATACTTACCTCAGAGGGCTGTTCTGAGGGTTAGGTGAGAAGATCTAGAACTATAATCGCCTCTGGTGCTGTTTAAATTTAAGCTGCTTATAATAAAAATGAAAAATTTTGTGTTTTTGTTGCACTGACCACACTTGAAGCACTCAGTAGTCACGTGGCTGGTGCTCGCCCGCTGGACAGCACACGTTAGAGAACATTGCCATGGTCACAGGACGTTCTGGTGGGTGGCGCTGGTGTAGATAAAGCACCAAGCACATAAGTGTGGTCAATAAGTGACACTGAGTACTCACAGTGTGCCAGGCACAATTCTAAGTGTTTCTATTTTCTTCTCCTTATTTATGTATTTAAGTATGTTTTTATTGATTTTTTTAGGGAGAGCGTGGGAAGGAGAGATAGAAACATTGATTGGCTGCCTCCTGCATGCCCCCTACTGGGGATCGAGCCTGCAATCTGGGCATGTCCCCCTACTGGGAAGCGAACCGGATCCTCTCAATCCATGGGCCAACGCTCAGTCCACTGAGCCACACCAGCTGGGCTTCCTTTTTTTGTTTTTAAAAACTCTCACAACAATCGTATCTCCATTTTATAGATGAGGAAACTGAGGCACAGAGTAAAAAATTTTTTAAATTGTGGTAAAAGATTCATAACATAAAATTTACCATTGAACAATTAAAAATAATTTTTTTCTGTATTGATTTGTTAGAGAGAGAGGAAGGGAGAGGGAGAGAGAGAAAGAAACATCGATGAGAGAGAACATTGATTAGCTGCCTCCTGCATGCCCCCCACTGGGGATCGGGCCCACAACCTGGGCATGTGCCCTGACCGGGAATTGAACTGGTGACCTCTTGGTGCATGGGTTGATGCTCAACCACTGAGCCACTCTGGCCACATCCATTGAACAATTTTGAAGCGTACAGTTCAATGGCATTTAGCAGAGCCACAGTGTTATGTAACCACCATCACTATTTAGCTCCAGAACATTTTCATCACCCCAAAAGGAAACCTTATACTCAGTAAGTGGACACCCCATTCCCCGCTTCCTTGTGCCCCTGGTGACCACTACTAATCTGCTTTCTGTCTTTATGGATTTACCTATGCTGAACTGGAAAATGTGAGTTGCCTGTAAGTGTAATCATACACTCTGGGGCCTTTTATGTCCGGCTTCTTTCAGCATAATATTTTCAAGATTAATTCATGTGGCTTCTATACCTCATACAGGCACACCTTGGAGATATGGGTTTGGTTCCAGACCACTACAATAAAGCTACTATTGCAATAAAGCTAGTTGTAATCTTTTTGCTGGTAGAGGGTTTTGCCTTCAACTTGTAAAAAAACAAAACAAAAACAAAACCCACATCATTTGTTAAGTGCAATAAAGCAAAATGCCATAAAACAAAATATGTCTATACTTATTCCTCTTCATGACTGAGTAATTCCATCATATGTATAAACCTAATTTTGCTTACCCATTCACCAGTGGGTAGGCATTTGGGTTGTTTCCACCTTTTGGTGATTGTGAGTAGTCCTGCTATGAATGAACATTTTGTACAAGTTTTGTTTGAATACCTGTTTTTAATTCTTTTGGGTATTTAGGAGTGGGTTGTATGTTAATTCTATGTTTAAGCTATTGAGGGAATCAGTTGAGTACATTTCGGCTCAGTAACACATTTAGTAATTGGCAGAACTGCAGTTTGGACCCAGGCAGTTTAGCTTCATAACCCAGACCCTGAAGGATTACTTTATTGCTTATAGCTGTCATTATTATACAGTGTTAATAGGCTGATTCATTTGCCAGCTCTGGCCTGGCATCACCATAGCACTGTGTTCTTGGAGGTTATTAACCTTCCCAAGCTTTCTCTCATTATTTTGAGACATTTTGAAAATGTACCTTCCAGCCCTCCCAGTGCTGGGAGGAGGAAGTACGGTGGCGTCCACTGTGACTAGTGGGTTCTGCTCTTCTGCCTGCTTTTGTTCTGATCCCCCTTTTCCTGTGCCCACCTCTAACGCGTTCTTTGAGGATGAAGGTAGCAGCAATAGAAGAGCAAAAATTCAATTCACACCTGTATTGTGAAAGTTTATCATTTGCTTTAATGACATGTAAATTACCTAAAAATGTAAACTGGGCTTGACTCCCTGTGTGAATTGCCAGACCAGGCAATTACTGACTTGTTTAAGGCCAAACGTCCTATTGAGGATAAGTGGTCAGCCTGGCTGGTGTGGCTCAGTGGATTGAGCATTGTCCCATGGACTGAGAAGTCCTGGTTCGATTCCCAGTCAGGGCACATGCCTGGGTTTTGGTCTCGATCCCCACTAGGGGGCGGGCAGGAGGCAGCTGATCAGTATTTCTCACATTGATGTTTTTATCTCTCCCCTTTCCATGTTCTTTCTAAAAAATCAATAAAGACATATTTAAATAAAAAAAATTGATCAACTCTACTTCTAAAAATGTCAACAGAACTTAAAAAAAATTTTTTTTATTGATTTTTATTTTTATTTTATTTATTTATTTTTGGTACGTGCCCCTAGTGGGAACCGAACCCGGGACTCTCTGGTCCACAGGCCGACGCTCCAACCGCTGAGCCAAACTGGCCAGGGCAACAGAACTTTTTTTTTGTTTTGGAAGTGCTCAGGTGGCTAAAGAACTCTGTACACTTGTTTTACTGCTGCCCTCTTAGTAAGTCTGCCAAAAAATTTCCAAGCACATGAGTAGGCCCCCTGGTTTGCCAGTTGTTTTAAGACTTTCTTCCTTTTATTGATTTCTTAGCCAGTGGAGCACAGAGCATCCCTAATGATGGTCCTGCTGGTGGTGAGGACACCCATTCTGAAGAGGAAGGCTTTGCCGTGGATGATGAAGATTCTGATGGGGAACTGAATACATGGGGGCTGTCAGAAGGGGTGTCTAGCTGTCTGCCCAAGGAACAGGCTGCTGATCTTTTTAATGAGGACTGGGACTTGGAGTTGAAAGCAGATCAAGGGAATCCGTATGGTAGGTGTGGAGTTTCTGGGGTCCTAGGCCAGGGTTCGAGACCCTCCTGTTAGATTACCCCTAAAGGCAGACAGAGTTTGGAAAAGGGACCCACATCTGGGAGCTTAGCCTGATATCTGTTACAGATCCGCAATTTTTGTGACTTCTTTTTCATACTGAAAAAAAGCAAACATGCAAATTTTACATTTGATTCCATAATGTCAGTTAGTTTTAACATTGAAACAATGTTACACTCTCCAGATATCTGTGTGTGAACTGATAGCTGCAGACAGAAGTGCCTTGTTACCCATTTGCTTCCTCTGCACTGCCAAGAGCCCTTGGCTGAGAGGCACAACTATAGATTGCCTCAGAGAACATGCTTGCAATTCTTCGGGAAAGGGGGCGTGTGTGCGTGCGTGTGTGTGTGCGTGTGTGTGTTTCAAAAGAGTGCAAGTATCTTTCTCCTAGACATTTTTTGTCTATTTGTTTTCACCCTCTATCCTTTTAATCTTTAATCTGTCTTTTAAAACTGCCTGCAGATGCTGATGACATCCAGGGTTGCATTTCTCAAGAGGTGAAACCTTGGGTGTGCTGTGCCCCGCAAGGAGACATGATCTATGATCCCAGTTGGCACCATCCACCTCCACTGATACCCCATTATTCCAAGATGGTCTTTGAAACTGGACAGTTTGATGATGCTGAAGACTGAGGGTGCAGCTTTTTGCCTGGTGGGTAGATGGGTCCTCAGGATCGAGGTCTCTCTTTTTTTTCTTTGATGTGAGATCTCATATCTGAGGAAACATTCAAGTGACTCCTGAGCTAGGCAGACAGACTGGTGTTAGATAAAGTCCCATTGTTCCTTAGTTCTGTTTTTTTTAATGGCTCCTCCTTGGATGTGTGTTTGTTTCTGTGTTAGGAGGAAGAGTTGTGTTCTTTATAAATAAAGGTAAAAAAAGAACAATCAATATGCTTTTGTCTACACCTCCCCCCACCCCCCACCCCCCACCCTGTTTAATTAGACGCTTCTGAGCAAAGCCTTATTCCTTCATTTAAAGCCCCTGGCTTACATTGTAAGAATCGGAGTACTTGGAGACTTGAAACTACTCTGAGAAGAAGATATTCTTGCGTTTTGCTTCTGTAGATCTGACACCATTGGCCAGGGATTGGAATCTAAGAAACGGTGGTGACTTTGTGGCTGCTGCTTTTCCTCTTGATGGAAAATTGACCATTTACTTAGTTAACAAGGACTTTCTGCAGGCTGGAAAACTAAAGGGCAAATTAATTAAACCCACAATTGTATAACCCTCAATTGGCATGAAAGGATTTTAAACTTATTTTCCATTTCTGTTTTAATCCTTATAATTACTTATATGAAGTTACTGTTTAAAAAAAAAAAAATTACCTCATTTTAGAGACGAGGAAAATCAGACTCAAAATGTTGACCTCTTCGAGGTCACACAAGTGGGAAATGGCAGAGCCGGGAGCTGAACCCACAGGTCACGTGAAGTCTGTTCTTGTTTGGCCCTGTGTGTGAGAGAGCCCTGAGGCGGGATCTGGGGGCCATGCCTTGGCATGTCTGACGTGCAGCAGACTAAGTCACCTTTGCCTTTTTAATTTTTTTTAAAATGTCTCAAATATCAATAAGATACCCTCCCTATACACAAATTCGCTACTAAAAATTGAAATAACACATTAAAAAAATGTTACAACTCAAATTTTTGAAAACCAGAGAATCTAGTTAATGCACCCTGCACTAACCATGCTCTAGCCTGGCCAACCCACCCAGGGTTTTCTTTTTTACATTTCTTCCACCCAAGTTACTTGCTTTTAATTCTTGATGTTGGGTTTTATCTCACTGACTTCAGGCTTCTAAAACACAATGACAACACTCAAGACCTATTAGTGCTTCTTTGGGTCAAATTAAAAAGGATCTGAAATATATTGAAGTCATTTAAATGCAAACCGCAATTCCTTATAATTTACTGGCACCAAGGTAGGCAGAAAAAGACATCACAGAACTTCCGTCATAGGTTATCTAAATATTGGTATACACTCTATCCTGGCCTAGAGTTGCTTACTTAAGCTGCTGTATAACGACCTTAAAATTGGCAGCAAGAAAAAAAGTATGAGAATAAGATTTATAGCTAAATCAACTCCATGTCATTATTATTCTCCATGTTAATATTATCAGAAGGATCTCCATGATATAGGCAATAATGACAGCTACATCTGAATCTTCTGAATCTTGATTCGGTCTCAAGTTTCCTCTCCCGCGGGTCTTTTTGAAGCAGAGACAGGGTGCGGTATCGAGTCCGCAGCAACGCCCTTTCCATCCTTCGTCTCATTGCCACCGTCCTCACTCCAAGTCCAGGCTTTGGGCCAGCCCAAGTCCAAGTCCTTGTAAGTTTTGTTCTCTGTCCTGCTGTTGGGGTGAACGTTTTGGTGGAAGGGAAGGGAATGTGGTACTAGGTTTGAGAGTCAAGTTACTAAGGTCCTTTGCTAGTGCTTCTGAGATCGCCTGAACGCCAGCTGACTCCCCTCACCAGGCATCCGAGCGGACTCCGGGGTCGAGGTGGGCTAAGCTGCTTTGGCGAGTCCGTTGGACGTCTGGTCACAGCTTGAAGCTCCTCCTCGGTTGCAGTTCAGTTCCGGGCCCTGGTCGGGTTGTGCAGGAGGCAACCTTTTGCCTTTTTTAAATGATGCTTATTTCTTAATTTTAATTTTTTTGTTAATCCGCACCCAAGGATATTTTTCCATTGATTTTTAGATAAAGTAGAAAGGTGGGAGGTGGGGAGAAAGAGAGAAACATCTATGTGAGAGAGACACCTCCAGTGGTTGCCTCTCACATGACCCCGATGTGGGGGGATTGAACCTGCAACCCAGGTATATGCCCTTGACCGGGAATTGAACCCAGACCTTGGGCTGACACTAAACGCTGAGCCATACCAGCCAGGGCACACCTTTGCCTTTTTGCCAGGCTGAGGGATTGCTTCTCACCTCCCTGCCTTCTTACTGAAGCGGAATCAAGAAAAAGTTTCAGACCTGAAGTTGGAGCCAACTCCACAGCAGTTAAATGAACATTTACCAGGGCTGGGGAACCTTTTTTCTGCCAAGGGCCATCTGGATATTTATAACATCATTCAAGGGCCATACAGAATTATCGGCTTAAAAATGAGCCTGCTATATTTGATCAGGCTAATGTGACGAGGCGTGTGACGTTAGCTGGTATTGCTTTCTCGGGCCTTACATGGCCCGCGGGCCGGACGTTCCCACCCCGACCCATTCGGCTGTTTTTTCAGAGGCACATGAAGTGTGAACAAGGCAGAGCCTTATGAGGGAAGGCAGTGGTTTTGACAGGCCTCATGGCCAAGGCTGTCCTAAGGCTGTCCTAAAGCTGTCCTTCAGCAAGGGACAGTTGTAGACCCTGTCCTCCTTCCGGTGCCATAGCTGATGAGGAGAACTTGAGGAACGGAACCAAGAAATGCTGGGGCTTGAGGAGGGTGTGAAGTGCCAAATGAAAAGGTTGTGCCACCAGGGGGTCACTTTTGCCCACGTGTAAGCTGAAACAGTACCAAAGCAGGAGTCATGAGTGGGGAGGGAAGAAAACAGAATGAAAAGCGCCCCTGCATAAGTGACAGCAGAGAATCACAGCTGCTGCCGGATCCATGGAGCAGTGTGGACCTGGGACTTGCCCTGGCTTTTTATTTTTATTTTATTTTTAAAATATGTTTTTATTGATTTTTTTAAAGAGAGGAAGGGAGAGAGAGAGAAACATCAATATGAGAGAGAAAAACATTGATATGAGAGAGAGACTGGGGATCAAGCCCACAACCTGGGTATGTGCCCTGATCTGCAATTGAACCGGGACCTCTCAGTTTATGGGAGGATGCTCAGTCCACTGAGTCACACTGGCCAGGCTTTCCCTGGCTGTTTAAAAATTTTATTTTATTTTTTATCCTCACCCAAGGACATTTTTGCATTTATCTTCAGATAGAGCGGGGGGAGAGAACAGAGAGAAACATCAATGTGAGAGAGACACATCGACTGGTCACCACCCACATGACCCCAATCGGGCCGGGGACAAACTGCAACCGAGGTTCGAGGTTCGTGCCTTTAGTGGGAACCAAACCCGGGACTCTGGTCTGCAGGCTGATGCTCTAACTGCTGAGCCAAACCAGCCGGGCTTTCCCTGGCTTTTTAGAAAGTAATCTTTGTGGCTCCTGGTTATTTTCAGCGAAGCAGGAGGGAGGGAAATGGTGTCTCCTGGAGCAAGGACCTAGAAAACTATTCTCTTAGAGTTAAAAATAAAAACAGCCCTGGCTGGGTTGCTCAGTTGATTGGAGCGTCATCCCATACACCAAAAGGTAGTGGGTTCGATTCCCAGTCAGGGCACATTCCTAGGTTTCGAGTTTAATCTCCTGTTAGGGCTCATGTGGGAGACACCCAATTGATGTTTCTCTCTCTCTTCTTCCTCTCCCTCCCTTCCTTCCTCTCTCTCTAAGAATCAGTGGGAATGTATACTCGAGTGAGGGTTTTAAAAAAATAAAAAAGTAAAACCAGAAGGACTTTTGTGGTTGAACATTGGGTATGTTAGGAGAATAAGAAACAGTGTGTTGGGGGTAGTCAGTTGTTCTGATTTAGGTATTTTTCTAGTGCCCCCTGTACGATGAATCATGCATAGAGAAAGATACAGAAAAATAACTCCCTGGGCTGTGAACATTGGTTATTTCAAGGGGATGAGGTGGGAATAAAGAAAAAAGGTAGTGAAGTGGAAAAATATTAATGACATAATAAGTGAAGATATAGACTGTAGAACTATTCCGATAATGTTGCAAATATGGACAAATGGAAACAACTTGATTAAATGGTAGAGGTGTATGCAAATTGCTTTTATATTTTTGTTATTTTAGTATAGATTTTGCAATGAGGTATTTAAAATGCAGACATTTTTGCTCAGCAGTTGGAACGTCGGCCTGCGGTCCAGAGAGACCCGGGTTCACTTTCCGCTAAGGGCACGTACCTCGGTTGCAGTTTGTCCCCGGCCCTGGTTGCGTCGTGTGGGTGGCAACACTCGTGTCCCTTTCATGTCAATGTTTCCCTCTCTCTCTCTCTCCCTCCCACCCTATCTGAACAAAAAATGGAAAAATGTCCTTGGGTGAGGATAAAAAATAAATAAATAAAATGCAGACAAGATGGCCTGGCTGGTGTGGCTCACTGGTTGAACATCAACCCATGCCCAAGAGGTTGCAGGTTCGCTTCCTGGTCAGGGCACATGCCCAGGTTGTGGGCCCAATCCCCAGGAGGGGGGGCATGCAGGAGGTGATCAATTGTTCTTTCTCATTGATGTTTCTGTCTCTTTCTCCCCCTCCCTCTCTCTCTCAAATCAAGAAAGAAAAATATTTAAGCCCTGGCCAGTTTGGCTCAGCAGTTAGAGCATTGGCCCACGGACCAAAGAGTCCTGGGTTGGGTTCCCGCTAAGGGCACGGACCTTGGTTGCAGGTTTGATTTCCAGCCCCAGTCGAGGTTGTGCGGGAGGCAGCCAATTGATGTGTTTCTCTCACGTTGATGTTTCTCTCTCTTTCCCTCCCTCCTTCCCACTCTCTCTAAAAAATCAATGGAAAAATATCCTCGGGTGAGGATTAACCAAGAACAAAAGAAAAACTAAAGTGTGTGCATGACAAATGAATTTGTAATACAAATTCTTTGATAAATAACAAATCATGGTTATTTAAATAATTGCACCCTGGCCAGTGTGGTTCAGTGGTTAGAACGTCAGCTGTGAACTGGAGGGTCAAGGGTTTGATTCTTGGTCAAGGGCATGTACTTGAGTTGCAGGTTTGATCCCTGGCCCCGGTCAGGGCCCATGCAGGAGGCAACCAATCGACGTGTCTCTCTCTTTTCTACTGCCTCTCTCCCTTCCATTCTCTCTAAATAATCAATGTAAAAAATATCCTCAAATGAGTAGTAACAAAAAAATAAATAAAAATAATGCCGGGGCTGTGTGGGTGGCAACCAGTCGATGTGTTTCTCTCTCTCTCTCTCTTTCTCCCTCTCTCCCTCCTGCTTTATCTGAAGATAAATGCAAAAATGTCCTCGGGTGAGGATTAAAAAACAAAACAAAAAACTATCACAGCAATTTGTAACTAGTGTTCTGTAATGAAGAATTGTAATTTTAGGTACTTAACAACAAGAAAAAAGCAAAACCCTTTTATATTTCCAAATCTCTGAATGCTGACCTGAGAAGTATCAATCTCAGAAGAGGGAGAAAACTTGGACGTTGCTTAGCTGGGCTTTGTGTTATGTGCAGGAGTCCTCTCTGCCCACTTGCAGTCATGGGGAGCTCACTACCTCAGGAGGAGCCCATCCGTTGCCGGCTAGTGCTGTTGGTTAGAGCATGCTCCCTTGGATTGAGTTGAACTCTACCCATTTGGTCCTGGTGTGCTCTGTCGCCCTGACACTCTTTCAGATATAGGAAATTAGCAATCGAATCCTGTCTCTGGTTTTTTATTTTCTAGGCTAAACAGTGAACAGGCATATATGTGCCTGGAATCAGAAGGGGACATGAAGAGAGGAGGAGGGAGGGAGCGGTTTAAGTAGGCGTTATGGCATTGAGAGAGGCTGAGATTGTTCACATAGAGCCTGCAGAGTGCGGAGGGCTGAGGACAGGACCTTGGGAGCATTAGCAATCCAAGCATAGAGGGGAGGATCGGATTCCAAGGGCAGGCGGTGTCATGGGAGGTGGAAGAAAACCAGGTGAGCACCCTTAAAGCCAAATCTGAGAAGAGAGTTTTAAAGAAGGAGAAATGGACATCTTTTATAGAGTGAGGCCAAGTAAGATGAAAGCTAAAAGAGGTCTTTGGGGATGTGAGAATTAGAAAGTGCTCATACAATGTACCGACTTGGGCCAGGTGCAGGCATATGGGCTTTGCAGGCTACAACGTTTGGGGGTTGCACGCGGTCCCCCTGAGCTGTTGCCCTGGGTTCTGTTGTTTCTCTTACTGGGGGGCCGTGGTGACTTCTGGCCAGCGTCTCTGGAGTGTGAGCCAGGCTGGGGAGTGGCAGTGAGGGGCGAGGCAAGGAAGGACGGAAGTGGACGGAGACTGCAGGAGAAGCAGGTGCTAAGGGAGGAACGAAAGAGAAACTCACTCTGACATTTCTCCGAACAGTATCATTCACCAAGAGAGAAATCACAGCCGACGACAGCGGAAATCTTGGGTGAGTGAAGAAGATTGCAGACGTGTTATCAAATGCGGCCCGCCGACCCTTGAGCGCTGCCCTCGGCCTGCCCCACGCCAGCGGCCGGGCCCTCTGCCCCTGCCTTAGTGGAGGCATGTGACAGGGCTGACAGCAGCCAAGAAGTCTCTCTAGCTTTTGTTTTACAAAAAGAATTTTCCTCAGGT